GATGCATAACAATGCAATTTTCTTGGTTAAAATTATTAAGTCTTTTCAAAACTTAGAGATAAACTATGAATTTTTAAATAGTACCCCCAGAAACAATACAAACTACAAAAAAGAGATAACCTTGAATAGATTAAAGGAAGCCAACAGACTTAAAATAGAATACCAAATATAATGAAGTTAAGGGACTATATAATTATGGCAATTAGTATCCCAAAATTGCGGTTTTCCGATGCTGCCCCTCAGAATTCTTAATAACTCTTCTATGTTCAGACCTTCCTTTCTTACCTGTAGAAGAAGAGGTATGAAAGTTTCTATCTCCAGAATCTGAGCAGCCTCTTCCATTAAAATGTTGTCATACTAAAAAGGGGTGAAAAAGGAAATCCTGTCAAAAAGACAGCTTGAGAATGGAACAACTATCACCATAACAATAGTAACCATCAAAAAAACCCCAAGTAATTTCTTATAAAAATAACACAAATTATTCAAATAGAAAGTTCATAGTCTTATTTATTATCAACCTCCTACTTCTTAATTCAAGGCTTTAACTCCAGGGAAGCTCCCCAAATACAACTCCACATTGAGGTGATACTGTATCTCATTCCTAGGATTGTTATCGATCAATTTAGTTATTTTCAATTTATTCCTTTACCTGCTACACAAGCAAGAATTTATGACTACATGTGAGGTCATTTCTATAGGACATTCTTCCCCTAAGTATTTTTAGAATTTCTTTTTTCTGCAGGAATCCTACTCAGCACTCAATAATCCACTTCTATCTCACTTCTGGGCATTCAGACACCCAAATATGTTGATTTTACCTTCAAAACTCCCTCTCGAATCTATTCATTTTTCTCTATTTCTATTTCCACTCCAACCGCTGCTAGCAATCTATTAGCCCTTCTCTTCCCTTTCCTCTCCTCCCTGAGCCATGGATACAACGATCGTCAAGTCAGCGCTTGTTTCAAATCCTTTACTAGCTTAGAATTGTTTTAGGGGGAAAACAAATCTCTTAAAATGGCCCACATGAACTGTGTAAGTATGTCCTTCATTCAACGTAGGCCCTGCCTTTCTCTTCTCCTTCATGTCACCCTCCTCATAACCCACTAAACTTCAATCACATTGACCTATTTCATTTTTTGATTGGCAAAACCACACCTGTCTTAGAAGCCTGTCAGAGATGCTATTGTCATTTTACCTTGTCTGCTTGGCTCTATCACATTCTTAAAATACCAGTTTCAAACCCATGTTTTATCAGGCCTTCTGTGACTTCCTGACACACAAAATGGGTTTCCCAGTACTCTGTTCCTTTGTCACCCAGCAATTTAATGTCTGTCTTCCCACTAGTCAAGCCTCCAGTAATGTGAAACACTGCACATTTGTAAAATAATGAAAAACCAAGTTCCTCCCACACAGAAAATTTCATTCTTTGCTTGATTATTTCTTCTATTTATGCAATTATTTGCTAGGTCTCTTCTCAACATGTTTTATTTTTCTCCTCAGTTTCAAATTCTGGTTAC